GTATGTATGTATGTGTGTGTGTATGGGTGTATGTATGTACGCTTAGAAATGGGTATACACATACGAGTATAAATCTATGCGTGTACATATAAAGTGATATTTTAGCGTGTGTATATCTATGTACATATGTGTGTACAAATACGTGCGAAGGCTGCCTACACTGCTAAGTTGATACACATCCATAAACCTATCGTAGCACGTTTTGGATCTGCGCCTGTCTCGTTCTGCAGCAAAACACACATCTGTTGTACTTCTGCAGCCGTTCATTTCTGCATTCGTCTGCTCCAGATCTACCACCTCGCAATAGCCAGTCACCTGCCAGAAAACGGAGGTTCAAATTAACTTAGCATACCGACCATCTATTGTCTTAGGACTTGTGGATGTTGTTACGGTTCAGGGTTTAGGATCTGTCCACCGTTGTGAGCCTTGAGCAGGTATTATCCCGCACGGTAATTACTATCACAGCGTGCTTTGGTGTGTAGTCCTTGTGTTCACTTTCGGCGATGTTGGCAGGGCCGGTATGCTGGCAAGAAGGCCTGCGGCGGTGCACAGGGTCTTTCAACTTTACCGGCTGCCGTGTTGGATACGTGTTCAGCCGCAGCTACCAGGACCATACAAAACAATCACATGTGCTGAATTTAAAGCATCGGCTGTATTCACCAGTGGGTAAAAAATGGGCTCACCGCGGCCTATCCACAGCAGCACCATGTGCAACCTGCCACGACCCTTAGGGCATTTCACGGGGTCTCGCATGCTTGCCCAGATTATCGTTTGCTACAGAATCCTGCAATGCCATCAGCATTTTCGCGGACAGGTTGTCATTGTGATCCCAATTTAACCATCAGTTTACGCTCAAAATCCCCGACCCCCTCTCCTCCTCCCCTCCCATTCCTGAAAAAGAGACGCTCCACCAGCAGGCCATCGTCGTGAAGACCTTCGACGACGGCTCTAAGGCACGATCCTTCGGCCACGCCTTGGTAGCGGGCATCGATCGTGCGCCGCTGAAAGTGACCAGGCCGAGCCAGCTTGTCACAGTTTGCAAATTATGGGATAATCAGGCACCCTTTTGGCTGGACGGACGTTTTGTTTCAAGAAGGCATGTGCACGTCTGAAAAAGTAGGCTTATCTGCTCGGTTGCCATTTTTCGTATGTACATGTGCAACATGTTTCTGCCTAAATAGTTGCTGATAGTCATGTTCATAGCCTCATTTGTCCTTACATTTCATGTTGCGTGTTTGTGTTCACATTTATGTTGATCTGTTTGTTTGTATGTTGATAGTCATGCTGACATTCACATTTGTACTCTCGTGTATGTGTACACATGTAAATATGTGTACATATCACTAAAGTGTGTACATGTATGTATATTTATTCGTGCCTGTGCATGTACCTGCATGTAGGGAGAGCATTGGCCATGCGTAGTATTTCCAAACTGAATCTTGAAGAATTCGGGACCCTAAACCCTAAAACCAAATTCGGAGCTCGTCTGTGGGCTTCGAGACAACCATGCAACCTCCAGCTTACGTCTGGGCACAGAGTTTCGAGGGTTTAGAGTTCAGCTGCTTTTCAGCCCCTAAATGGTTAAGCGGAAGTCTAAACCCTCGATTTTCGTCGATTTTGCTGTGTATCATGAATTGCTGGTTCCATTCTTGCCATTGCTGCCGTTTTCCGTGGTATAATGATACAATCAGTATCATTGCAGGCGGATGTCCAAGAAGAAGATCACCAAGCGCACTAAGGTCAAGCTGGAAGCTGAGATCTTGTCGATGGGCAGCGCTGCGCACTAGCCTGATCGTTGACGCAAGCGAACAGCATGATGTCCTTTGGTTCCTGACGGAATGGAAAGTCGCCTGGGATTTTAGCAGCTACAGCTTGTTTCTGAATAAGGCCTTTCGTCAAGTACGTCAACTACAACCACATCATGCCGACGCGCTACAACGCACGGCGCTCTGCGTGGCTCTGACTCCCGCAGACCCCGAAATTCATCTGAGGCAAAGCTTCCCACACCATGCAGAGCGCTACAGTAGCAAATGCCATTATCTGCATCATGTTACGGAACGCTGTCGGCAATGCAACCCAGTCTGCTTGATGCTGAGACCATCTAAGACCTCTGGTGCTCCTCACGTCATAAGTTAAGTGATTACCGCTGCCGGCTGCACTTCCTCTGCGTTAACCACTACTACTGCGACGGCGACGACGACGACGACGACGACGACTACTACTACTACTACTGCTACTGCTACTGCTACTGCTGCTACTCCTACTGATACTCCAAGTCTTTCTCTTTCTCCTACTACTAGTATTACTATGACGACGACGACGACGACGACTACTACTACTAGATTAATGCGACAACGACGACTACTACTACTCCTGATACTTCTACTATTATTACTACCACTACCACTACCACTACTACTACTACTACTACTACTACTACTACTACTGCTACTACTACTACTACTACTACTACTACTACTACTACTACTAGTACGACTACGACTAC